AAAAAAAAAAGAAAAGAAAAACTCCTTAACATGATGAAACAAAAACCAGAGTAACTGGGAAAGCACCAGGGCTGCAACTGCCCATCTTGAGCCATGGTATATATCTGTAAAAGATGCAACAACCTGGCCCAACCAAGAGATGCTTTCAAACAGATCAGGGAACTGCCCTTTCCACAGATGTGCAAGAGGTGGTCAAGGAATTTCTGGCCAACACCAGAAAGGTGCCTTGACTGGGAGAAGAGAAGTGGAATGGATGGCAGAGCTTCAGGAGAGTGGGGATCACCAAAAGGAGCCCATTCTTGCCATTTCGGATCCAGGTACTACAAGGCTACTGTGGTAGTGATGGATGAGTTAATGATGAGGCTTTTGTGGAAATTTTCCAACTGGATTTAATAATAATATCATGAAAATACTTTTATTTTAAAGGTAATATTGAAAAAATACTATTATGTGCTTATGTGTTTTATATGTTTTTTCATTTAATCCTCATGAAATATAGTGACCATTATATTATTTATTTTTTAAGGGAATGGTCTACAGGGTGTTCAGGGTCTCAGTACTAGATTGGACTCATAGTGATCCACCTGTTTACAGCCTCCCAAAAGCTGGAATTACAGGCGCGCAACACCACATTGAGTCTCAATCGCATCTCTGAGTGCCCCAGGGGCAGGCCAGCACAGCAGGCCCAGAGATTGAACTTCCAGCCCCTGCACCTGCTTGCGGGTGCTTTAATCTGCTGAGCTATTTGGCCGGCCCTAGTAATTATTATTAATTGTTGCCTATCACTCACTTTCTCAAAAAACATTTGCAAATGTGAAGTTATGAGTGACAGGTGCTACAGTAAGTCTGCTTGTTTGCTACTAGTTTTGTTTTTAGCTAAGAACAAAGAAAAGAAAAAGGAGGACTAGGAATAGGAATACTGGGTAAAGGATAAAGAAAATTAAGCAAAATTGCACATGACCCAGCCATACAGCTCATGAGACAGCTCAGACATCCAAAGTTTTGAAAAGCTAATAACTTCAGGAGATTAAAGAAGAGAAACTTATCAAGAAGAAAGGTTAAAAAAAAAAAAAAAAACAAGGTATAAGGGGTGAAGCCATGTTGGTATGCTGGGCTATAAAGAGCTCAGATCAACAACTTCTGACATTACCAGTCCTGTGGATGACCCACTACTATTATGGAACACTAGACTATATTGGAATATTTTGCTGAATTCATGCACCTATAATATTTAAGTGACAATGGAATACCCTTCTCTGACAAAACTAAACAAAAAAGGGGATACAAATGAATGACCATTTTTGTATCTGTATACACAAAATAGGATAAATATACAGCTACTTTCTCTTAATTCAATGAAAAGAAAGATTTGTACTAATAGTGTTTGGACAGGATATCATGTCAGCATCTTGTACTATGAATAACCACAAAGAAAGATAACAATATGAATGTATTAATTATTGAAACTCTCCTACTAATTGGTTTTGAAACTGTCTTATTGCTATTTGTTTCTCAATACAATTATTTAAAAACAAAAGAAGAGAGACTGAGTGTGGCATCGACACATGTGGGGAATGGCATGGGCTCCACAAAACATGTCCTATGTGATGAATAGCTAGCAAAGGCCTGAGAAAGAAAATAGACCTGGAGGAATCAGGGAAGAACTGTAAAAAGAGTTCCACGTGTAGAATTTGCTGTGGCACTGGACATAAAGGGTAGAATGAGCATTGCAGAAATTCAACATCTTTCAGGGTAGTCCTGAAAAATGAACCCAGGGAGCCAAAAAAGAGCAAGTTAACAAAAATAGGAGATGTACATATTGACAAAGAAAACAGCCAATAGATGATGGACTGCCACAGAGTAGATGCTCACAAAAAAAAGTCAAAAAATGACTCAAATAATACAAGTCATAGTCCAAGATGTAGTAGGTCATTTTTCTGGAGCAAACTAAGCTCTGATCTTCAGATGGAAATGACTATCTTTTTGATAAAACCTACATAACTGACATTCATAAAGATACTGTTTGTTAAGGACAAAGAAGTACATGAAAATCTAGGCAGAAAAAATATGTTCAAAAATATTAAACCCATTTGGTAAAAGAAAAAATTCCTCATCTGAAATTGTTTCCAAATCCAGTGTGACCTCTTATGGCTTTGACTGGCCCACCAGTGTT